AGCCAGCCCCATTTCAGCACGGGGGGACCCTGCCCTTAGGGGAGCAGGCAGAGGCATTGGTGCTCACCGTGAGCAATGCCGGGAGGGAACAGAATTGCCTTGTACACACAGGCTGTGTCCCCCTGGCATGCAGCTCTTTTCCCTGCAGCAGATGTTTCCCCGAGTGTTTTTACACGTGCAAAGCGTTCCTTTCGGCACAGCAGAGGAGATGCACTTCCACCTCACCCCTGGGCCTGCACGCTCCTGCACCTTTCAGCGTTTCTATCCCCATGCAGCAGGCCTGCCGGCTCGGGAGGGAGGAGACGGAGCTGAGCTCCCTGTGTAGGCTGCAGGAAGCGTGGGCACTTAATCCGATTTCGTTGTCACCTCTGTTTCACAGGCAGAGACTGTGGGACGGGCAGGGACCCGCTGATGAACGCTGCTGATGAGCACGCTGATTCGGTGTCTCCAGGAGTGGGACACGTTCATTCTGTCACCCCCAGTCTGCGCTGCCCACTGCCACGGTGCCGAGAGGCGCAGATACCACCGCTGGTGTCGGAGCCGGCTTTCAACCCCTTCTCCGTGAGAAGAGGATGGAAACTGGGGGTGGAGCAGAGGCTGCTCAAGGACACCCATGGGAGGGTGTTTAGACTATTGCCTTGGGCTAGAAGGGAACTGCAAATGCCTTTATGACAGTAAGAATGATTAACTGACTCTTTCAAGAGGGTATAAACCCAGCCTCGCAGGAGGACACTGAGTTTCTTACCCAAGCTGCAGCCTGGCCAGCATTTCCCCTAGACTGCTTGCCCTTTGGCTACAAGTAGGGCAGCGCGGCATGATGCTGTGGGTCTGGGTGAGGAAGCTCCCTTTCTGTCAGGATGCCCTTGTTCAGGGCTGGCCCTGAGTCTCAGCTACAAGACCCCGCTCATTCACAGCCCAGGGAGGATGCATCTTACCCCATCCTTTGGGCTTTGCTGGGGATCTGGGGCAGGAGGGGGCTCCAGTAAAAGATGAACTGTAGTTTAGCTACATGTTTCCTGAGCAGTTTGTGGCTCACTCTTACTGCACGAGCAATGGCTTGCTAAAGACGGCTTGTTTTACAAAGCATTTTCACAAGTGGCTGAGCTGTTAATGTCACTGCTACCTGAGCAGATTTAATTGTGCTGCTGCTTGCTTTCAGCCTAGCATGACATGCTGAGAATGAAAATCACATACCTTTTTGCCAGGGAAAAAATGCCATGTTCTGGAGCAGGTTTGAGTGCATGTTTCCCACAGGGATTCATTCACATATTGTTCTGAGCTGCTTTGGCTGCCAAGGTTTGCTGTGGCATTTATTAAAAGATGCCTTCAATGCCATTCACCTTTAATCATTGTCCTGGGTTTAATTGAAACAATGTGTCCCTCTTTCCTACCAATATCACGTTATTACGGCGTGTAGCGTGCAGATGTGCTCTCAGATGCAAACAGGAAGTCTTGTAATTAAAACCATGCTTTTCAATCAATTTCATTTTCTCCAAAGGGTGCACAGCCTTATCTACCAACCTCTTATTTGTAGAGGAGGGCTGAAAGAAGAAACATATCCCAGCTTTTTGTTAGTCCTAATGAATGCCTTCATACCGATCCTCTTTGTCCCTCTTGCTCCTGGTGTCCTGGCGCACGTGTGCATCTTTTTATTTTAAGGGATAAAAGAAGGGAATGGAAGAGTAAATGGAAATGTAACCCTATAAAGACCAGTTTAAACCTTGAGTTTTGGTAGAAACAGAAATTCAATGGTGTTTTCCTCCTGGTTTTAACACGAAGGCAGAGAAAGCCAAATGCCTGCAGCATTCAGGCGCTGCGTGGCTCGCACAGGCAAGCAGACGGCTCATGCAGCACACCAACCTTTTCCAACCATGCATGTTAGCAAACAGCCAAGGAGAAGGATGTGGTTTCAATGGAGATAGGCTTTGGTGTTTACAACACAATTCAATATTAGGTGACATACTCTTATAGCATGATTCTAGCTATCTGTATAGAGAAATGCCTGCAGTTCCCATGCACCGGTGGTGAGTACCAGGCATCTTCCAGCTTTGGGTGCATTCTCCATCCTTTGTGCAAAGAGCAGCAACTCCATGACCTGCTGATGGGGTGAGTTGTTGCCTGTTGCTGAGAAGCCTGTAGGGGAGAACAGGATATCTGTGTGCAAGCACATTATATAGATCAGCATCAATTTCCAAACTGCATACAATTAATTCAAAGAGGCTCTTTGTACGAGCACGAGTGAAGGGAGATCCTTGCTCAAGTCCCTGTAGGATCAGTCTGGAGCAATTCAGGGTGTTCACACTCAGACCTGATTTTCTTGATTCAATGCCATTTTGCAGAAAAAAAGAAAGTCAGTATCCCTCTTGTAAGACAGCCCTGAGCAAGGGGTTAGATATGGAGGAGCTTCATGGATGTTGAAAAGCAGCATGTCGACAGGAATGCTGGCAAATCCATAGCTGCACAAGCATTACCAGCTGTAACCATCAAGCTCTGTGCACCGGGCAACGCTGCCGTGACTCCTCTTGTGCTGTGATCAAAGCACCGGGATTTCAAAGTGGAATTCTTTAAGTCAGACCAAGTCATCTTTGAATACATTAACTTTAAACCTCCCCAAAGATACCAGCAGCTGCTGTCTGGACTGCCCACATCACAGTGAAGGAGAACACCAGCCACAGCAATACTCATTTACAGACATTGATCTCTTTACCTCATTAGCAAATCTGTGCATTAACTTTCTACAGCCAGACAGCTGTGTTTTCAGTTTAAACAAATCAGTTTCTGTAGCTGGACAGTCAGGGCAGACTATTCCCACAGAGGGATTCATTTGCTAGCCCAGAACGAAACTTCAAGAGGGGTATTAAATGTCAAAAAGCTGTTGAAGCGGTTTATCAGGTTAATACTAATCCACTGCTTTAGAGCTGGTCATCACGGAGCCAGCCCACCACTCCAGTTTCTCCCGTTTTGTCCATCAGCCCTTGCACACTGCTGAAAGCAGCATCACCGAACCTACCCTAGCATGCTGAGGTGCAAAGGCACCCGATGAAGCCTGAGCTCAAATCTAGATTGAGGCCTGTCTCCTCTTGATACTCATAGATGGCTTCTCTTGAGAGCCCCATCAACCTGGAGTAAATCAGCCTCACAGCACCGGGGCTATTTCCTACCCACCATTTCCTCCACAGCTCTGCACTGGTGGCTCAGGGCAGACCATAGTCAAAGCTAAAATCTGAGGGTGATTCAGTAAGAGTCTTTTCAGCCTTCCTACATGTGGGCATCTCTCCGAAAACGAGATGCGGCTGCCCCTACTGAGCAAACTGCGCCTCAAGGCAGTAGGAAGAGCTCGCATGCACCCGCAGGCCACAGGCTGCGAACCTCTCCCTGCAATACCAGCAGCACCCCGGGGTTTATTTATCCAACCTGCTCTTAAAGATTGCCAGTGACAAAAACTCCACCACCTCCCCAGACAGTCTGTCCCTGCACCTTCCTGCTTTGTTAGAAAGGTTTTGCTACTGTTACCCTGAGTCCTTCCAGCTATCATTAAGCCCTTTATCTCCCTGTGAGCACGCAGAACAAATTACTCCCTTCCTCTCTTCAGCAGCCTCTTGTGTTTGAAAGCTGCTCTCTCATCTTCTCATCCTTAGGTTAATGCCAGTGCTTTTGGTGTTTTCTCTGGCCATGTTTCTGATGTCCAGGAATGCTGGTGCTCCAGCGGCTGCCTCTCACCAGGAGCTGTGCCCTTGAGAAAGACAGGACCCTCATGGCACTGCAGCTGTGCAGGGGCTGCTCTGCATCCTCGGAGCCGGCTTCCCATTAGGACACATCTCTGCTGAGTAGCATTCTTTACATTTTGGTAGTGAACCAGAGGGTGAATATATCAGATAGAGGTGGAATCTTCCACACCAACCAGAAAATTGCTGCAGCACATTTTCCATGGAGCAGGCCAGGCAGCAAATGAAGTGAGATTCAGAAAATGAGTGGGTTCACACAGTTTCTGAGCAGCCTTTTAAGGACATTTCTCAGCCTCGAATGTAGAAAGCTCTGCTACACACCTGAGATCAGCCCCCAGCAGGGAGGGGTTGCAAAAGAAAATTCTAGGGAAGGAGAACACACTGCCCACTGTCACTGTTACTCAGATGGCCTCTCCTGAATAAAATCTGCTGTTAAACATGAAAGCTGTATGATTAGTTGGAGAAATTGCAGCTCACTTGTTCTGTGCATACCTTAACAGCTGCATTTAACTTACCAGCACTGTAGCTGAAAATTCAACCATAATAATAAACAGCAAAGGGCTCTGCCCTGGACTCTGAGCTGCCACTTAGCAAGAGGTACCAGCCATGGGAAGGCAGCTGAGCCTCTGCGCCCTTTTGCTCAGCTTTAAATAACCACAGCACTAAAGAACACAGTCTGGAAGAGGGCAGTCCTCAGCACCAGCCTTTCTGCCCTGCCTGTGCCTCTGAACACCCCCCTCTGCTCATGGTATTCTTGGGGAAAAGGACTAGATTCTCAAAGGGCCATATTCTGTTTTCTACTTCCAATCTATGGGAAGCATGCATGCTGAAGCCTGAACGTGCAGTGAATTCACCCCTGCTCCCTGCAGGTCAGCACAGACATCACATCAGAAGCTTTAAGAACTGACCTGTGCTGCTGCCTTTGTCTCCATTTGGTTTGATGGCAGTAGACAAGAAAAAGGTCATTTCTTTCTGACTTCCTAACAGCAGTAGGTGCTGATACAGTAAAAAATGAACCCCCAGCTGCTGCTTCTCCCATACATATTTATTGTGCTGATTAAACAGATTTGCTATTCTATAGTAAAACAGGGAACTAAAGTTGTTACCAAATTACAATTCATAAATATTTGAGAAAATAAGGGCATTTACATATACCATTAGTGAGAAAGCACAGTTGCTGTGTAGCTGCCACTTGCTATCAAAACCCAGAATACCATGGGCTAAGTGCTTAGTTCACAGCTGCATCCTAAAATGACAGCACACTGAATCCACTCCTTCCATCAGGATATATTTTTATTAAGGGTCAGTATGAACTCCAAAAGAAACTTTGAATCTTTCTTTATCACTATCCACCCAGAAACAGTCCCTAAATTGAATGTAGCTGAGTCTTAAATAGTCAGGTCACAGGCACAATGCACATACCTGACATTTATAAGGCTATCAGGTAATTTAAATTCATGAGAGCAGCTATAAACATGTATTGAGGTGCTCAGTGGAGAAATGCAGCTCTGTGTTACAGGGTTAGATCCCAGAAAATATTACATACAAGATTTTGGCTCTTTCCTGCCAATGGTTCCTTCTAGATGTAGGAAAAATATCTAGCATTTAAAAATATTCTGTATTTAAGTGTCCAGCTAGAAAGTAAACTTTTCAGTAATTACTACAATATTTATTTCAAACTTAATGCTGAATAGGAAAATTAGTATGATCAACCCTATTCGTAAACACACACCTTATAAGAAAATGATAAATGGAGTCTCCATGGAGTTATTTGAGAGTGAGCTGTATTAGACAAACAAAACGTTAAAGAATTTTCTGGACAATGGAGGTAGGAATGAGAGGTTCCAGATTATGCAAGGTTTTCTGGTCTGCCTCTGTCACCACAGATTTGGTTCTACTTCCACCTGACAAAACAGACTTTCAGTTATCACTCTTTAAACTTCATTGTGATAGCATTACCTATTGTGTAGTAACAATATAAACAATGTACATTTCAATCCAACATTTCAGCTGGTCTTCAGATAGCTGAAGTGAAAACCCTACAAGGTTGAGCCAGAAATACCTATTAATGCAAGCACAATTTGGAGTACGATTTCTCACATAAAAGTAAGAATCTGCAGGTCCTATAGAAATTCAATAGGATTCTTTTACTTTACTAGACATTTTGGACTATGAAAAGAGCACTCACACAACCACACTGTTCTTCCATTTTGAAAGAGACAGTCTTCTACAATGTGCAAAATGAGACACACACTGTTCCAGTCAGTAAGTCTATCTCGCCGAGCTGGCTAGCTGTCCCATTCTCCATTATACTGATCATTGTTTTCTTCTTCTTCAGAATCAGCAGACACTTTCTTAATTCTCTGGATGGCTGCCTTAATGCTTCTCTCAAAATCATTAGGGGGTCCTTTACTGACATCTTTCTCAGTATGTCGATTCACTTTTCTCAGTTTAACTCCCTGCCTTATAGCAGAGAGGATGCTGTCCTTCACAGAGGCATATGGATCTGGCTGTTCCACTCTGCGAAGATGAACTTCACTGCGTTTTAGAGAAGCCAAAACCTCATCCATGGAACCTGCAACAGATAAATTTATTGTTACCAGAAAAAACAAGACAACCACACTTAGAGGTATAAAACCCTACCCAAGTGTTCAGGGTTCTTCCTTTTGTCTTTGCTACAGACAGGAAAAATAGTCTGTTCTGGCACAGACACTTTCAAGCTTCTGCAGCACCAGGCTCTGGAAGTGCTTTTAAAAAGCAGTTAAAGCTTTTATATCTTGAATTGCGAATCCAATGCCTCTTTAACATTATACAAGGTTGTGCTCTAAGGAAGAAATTATACACAAAGGAGGATGCTTCTTTTTTATTACAACTTTATGGGCTTTCAAAAAAAAAAAAAAATTCACTGCACCAAAAAGTCTCTTGTATTCTGCATTAGAAACGATCTACCATTCCTCCTAGCTTGCTCAGATGCCTGCTGGGACTGTCAATTGCATTTCTGCTCAGCCAAGAGAAAAATGAAAAGATTTGAGTAGAAGGGCTTGAAACTGCACCACTGAAGTCAGTGGGAGCCAGATCAGACCCTAAGCAGGCAGCCAGGCAGATCTTTTCTGTATAGACTTAAAATATAATTCCCATTTTACAACATGATTTAAATCTCAGGCGTATGTTTCTGAACTTCAGACCACAAAGGACACCATACTGAGAGCTTCCACTAGTTCTCTTTATACATGCTGTAATTTGCGTTTTACTCCTTCTGTTAGATTCTTTGTTGCTAGCTTCAGACTGCTGGACAGGGAGGAAAGTTTCCCAGGACAGCAGTCGACTCCTACAGCCACAGGTCCAGACCATCTGTGCCTCACAGCTGGAAGTATTCTTGCAATTCACAGTACCGAAGATTATGTGATTAACACCAAGCATTTGAAACGTAACATTCTGCTAAATCTTGAGGTACCTTCAGAGACTGAAATGTCAGAAAAGATCAAGCAAAGATGCACCAAGCCTTCAAGTAAGAAAGTCTTAAGTCTATTGATCAAATGGGCTGCCTGGTAACAGCCTAGCTAGACTAACAAATTGTAAGAGAGGCTCCCCTTGGAAAGTATGTTAACTCACTACAGACAGTATTTTCAACACCAGAATATTAGAGTCTCCTGGCTTTTCATGTACAAAGACATGAGTAGCTCATGTGTAACTAAAACCAACCCATTTACAAAGCTGTTTCAGTAAGTTCCTGTGGCAGTATTTTATCAATTACTATTACAGCAATTAACAAGCTGGTTTTCTTCATGAAATAGGTGTAAACAACCAAGCAGATCTGTCCAATAAAGACTTCAATAAACTAAAAAGGATTTTTCTTATCCAAAAATAATGAAAGGACATCAACATTATGCTGTGAACGGTAGTAAATATTAGCTACTAGCAAGGCTGTTCCAGTAGCATTCAGATTACTCTGGTGTACAACTCCTGTTACCAATCAAAGCTTCTTCAGTGTCTGTGGTAGAGTTATTCCACAGACCTCTCAGACTGAAGTCCTCACACTAGTCCACTGGATGCACAGTGGTTCCTCATGAGACAGATGTGTCTCAGCCCTTCAACTGCTTGTACTTCCAGCTCATATTGAAAAGGCTGAACTTTCCTTGGGGTTTCTGCCTGTGGATTGCCTCTTAACTGAGAGGGTACAAAGACTGCTTAAGACTAATCACAAAACATCTGAAAAGGAAAAGGAAAGTACCACATTTAAAGACATGCTTCATTCTAGCAAAAGCTCCACTGAAAAATGACAATAAAAAATTGCTGCTTCCAACTCAGATCAATCTCCCTGACATAGTCAAAACATCTGCTTGCTTTAGAGATAAAAATAAGCCTGTTTGGATGTAACCACTGCAGCCTTGGGAGGCTGCTGAGCTCTATTCTCATTCAAACTACTGTTTCAATTGCCGAGTTCAGCCTCCCTTACTTACACCTGCATGATCTTGCTAACAAAGCAGAGGTGTAACAGAATTTTTGCCCTGGGGATGTTAGTACACCAAAGCTATCCATCTGCCCTTCAAATTCTGGTTGACTTCTGCATTAATTCTCTTAAGAAACCTCCATCTAAAAACCAGACGAATTTTAAGTGGACACAGTCTGTGCATACCTTACAATGCAAACAGCCCAACTGCTAGCTCTGTAGTACATAAATCAAGAACGTTCAGGTGTAGCCTTAGTAGAACTACAGATTCGCCTACAGTGATCTTCTCACTGGGCAGGTGATTAATCCTCAACTAAAATACCACCTTCAGTTCACAAGTTGTAAAACTGTGGCAAGAACTAACCTGGTGGTAAAAGTTGCTTCTACCAAACAACATTAATAAACCCCCTCTCCTTGGAATTTCTTCTGACACTTTCCAACCTCTTACAGCAATGGTATTTTCAGTGTCATGAGAAATTCAGCTCCTGAATCAAGATCTCCACAGAACAAGTACTGCTGTGATTAAGTATGGTTTAAACTAACTTGTAGGGCTGTACTTAATATAGGATTACAGCAGAGATGCAAAAGTCCTAAAATACTGACCTGTCCCATTTGACAGCAGTCCCCAAAAAATGCTCCAGTCACACTCTCCGAGTGTCAGGAGCCTGTGAAGTGTATCACACAGGATAAACAAACCATTGTTACTCATTTAATATCCTGAGTTATAGTCAGTGTTACTGTACATGGTTTCTTAAGACTCAGTTTTCCAAGAGCACAGTCTTGCTTCTCTTAAGCAAGACTGCACACTATTCCTGTCCAGAGCCAGAGGGAAGAAGAACAGAAAAATACAGGAAACGAGATAAAAAATAAAGACACCAGTGTGAGCCTTCTTACCTATGCAATCATTTATAGACCTTCTGGATGAGTCATCCTGTTTGTGCAGTGCAGGGCTTTCTGTGGGCTTATCGGAGCTGAGGGGAAGTGGTTTATCCAGTGTCTTTAACTGAAGAGGTAGGGGGGGAGGGGGGGGAAGATGGCATTGGAAAGGTAAGGGAGGAGGTGAGGGAGGTAGGGGAGGTGGGGGAGGAGGGAGCTCAAGAGGTAAGAGGGGAGGTGGGGGAGAAGAGGGCAAAGGAGGAGGAGGTGGAGGAGGTGGTGGTGATGGTGGTGAGGCTGGAGAGTCCGTCAATCCCTCACTGTGCTTCTGCTCCTCTGTGTCACCATGAATGACAAGAATCTGGACAGGGGTATCTGGTGGGGTATTTTGTTGCAAAGGTTTTGATTCCTGGGCCTCTACTAGCAGTATACTCTTTGGCTGCTCTGGAGCTGCCCTGGCTCTCAGCGAAGGTGGAGGGGACCGTACTGCAACCTGCTGAGTGATGCTTCGTGGCAACTTGGGACTGAGAGGCAGAGGACGAGATGTTTTCAGAACAACATGAGCTGGACACTTCTGTAAAACAAATCATAAGGCAGGAGGTCACATCTCCATTGGACTGGCCAAAACATCAGCCCCTAAAAGGGGCAAAAAGCCATAGAGTACAGACCTGTACCATTCACCTACTGAAGCAGAAAATTCAACCCTGAACAAATTTAAATGAATATCATTGTATTTCTTTCAAAGCCATTTCCTCATGTTCTTTGCAATGGGTTCTGCAACTGGAAACTTATCGTTAGTGGATTTAACCCTCTTGACACATTACATGCAACCCTATTTTAGGCTATCCAAACAGTTGTCTCTGATTTGGACCATGAGCTATAGCTACTTTCCGTTGTCATGTTTTGACACCATTTAGGACTACTGTAGTTTACAGTACTTACCTCCCTGAATGCTTTCAGCCTCTCCAGTGTTTTCTGACGTTCCTGGCTTATCCACGCTTTTTTCTTTTTCTCCTCTTCTTTTTGCTTGTCTCTCTTCTGCATTAAAACACAAGTGAGTCATAGTGTGTGAAAACATGCAACTACCAGGTTCTCAAAGACTGCTATTCAGTACTCACTATCTGTATGCTGTGATGCTGCTGGAAGCGTTTTTTGCTCTCTTCTGCCTGTTGCAACCTCTGCCGATGGTTTGTTTCACACTGATCCTGGTAGAAAACAAGAATTCATGCAACCCTTGGTTAGCTCACTTTTACTGTGCATCATCTATGCCATTAACTCCTGCGTGCAAGCCACTAAACAGTGACCAAGGCTGAGTATTTGTCTCTGCCAAGGATGGCTAAGCTCAACTAGTGGCAGATGTGAGACCCTGAAAGTGAAGTCTGTGGGACTCCTTCATGACTAAAGTCAGTGGAATTTTTTGCTCTCCTAACTAGTGATAGGGTTACTCATCCTGCAGAGGAAACATACCCAGATCTGAACCAATCCCTCTGTCTTACACTTAGGCTAAAAACAAGAGAAAAAGGTTGGGGGAAGGCAGAAACGAGATCTGAAGAAATTTCACCCAGGTACCAGCTGGAGGGAAGGTGCAAAGACATGAAGAAGGCAGCAAGAGGGAAGTTAGCAGGGCATTACAAAAATGCAAGGCTACTTTCTCAAGGACAAAAGCCAGGGAAGCAGAAGCAAAGGTCTGGGAAGCACAATGAATGCCTAGCAGGGGCTCCTTCTGTTAGTAACAAGTGCTGCAGAGAAGCTGCAGGCTTCAGTATCTTCCCTGGGAGTCACTAGTTGTCACTGTACAGAGGGGGATTATCCACATGGCTGGGCAAGCATTTGCAAATCATCTGGTATTTGGCTTCAGTGTTATGTAACCAAGAGACAGCAATTAAGTGAATGAAAACAGAAGCAAAGGAAGTGTCTGCCGAGGAAGCAGTTGCAAGCAACAGACAATGATGGCTCACAAAACATTTCCAGTGTCATTCCCATTTTGTCCAGGCTAGTGACAAGTAAAAGGCCTGACAGATGGGAGCCTAAACTCTGCTCTCTACCCCAGCAGGACTGTACAGGTGTAAGGTAAGCTCAGCTCACTGGGAAGGTTAAGAATCAATTGTGATTTCACTTGTGTCTTTTTCATGCTCTACTCTGAATGGGAAACAACGGAAAAAACTGCCCCTTGCACAGAACTGAGAGGTTGGATAGAGAATTACAGCAGTTAAATTTTCCCCTCTCTCCCATTCAAGGGTAAAGTATCTCTGTGTGAGCTGTTTTGTCACTGCAGCTTCCTTCCTTGCAGGCCAGGTTTCCTCCTGTACTGCAGCTGCTTTGTGAAGGCTGCCAGGGCAAAGCTCCAGCTGACTACAGCAGAGCTCTGGTGAGGTTTAGGTGATAAGGGAACCCCTCCTGGGTCACCCCCATGTAAGTTTGTGCTGCCTTAATAAGCTAGAGAGGTACTTGCACCACACAGTGGAGTGTAAAGTTGACTTAAAATCACATGGCCCCTCTCTCTGTTTGGACACGTTGACACTGAGTCACTTTGTATGCTCCACCCAAAGTTTCCCTAGTTGCTTCCTGTCCGTGCCTTGTGAGTCAAGATATCAGCTAAAAAAAAATGCACATCTCCAGGACTGCATTTACTTTTTTGTTCCTGAGGTAGGCTCTCCTCGCACAGACAGTCCCACGCTTTGTCTCCAACTGCTTAGTCTTCTGCCTCAGCATCGTCATTTCTGACAAGTTAGCGTAATGTTGTCCCATTGTCTGTTCAATGACCTTGAGCTCCTCAGGATTTTCACATGTATCATAGTAAACAACTTCATCCTGTTTCTCTAAAAAGGCATTTGGCATTTTTTTAAAAACCCCCAAATTGCCACAGTTATTTAAACATTTAAAGAGCTAATGACATTTTAAAAGCCACTGAAGGCAGTGAGTTAGTTTATTAGAACATGTAATGCTCCAGAGCCCAGCTTGGTCTTTCAAAGTCCTACACAAACATGTCATGTTACTCACAGGGGTGCTTTGCAGGATCAAATTTATGCTGTTAGCATTTGTTGTTATTTAGCTTCCTCTTTCAAATGTCTCTCTGTGCTTTAACTCCTACTTTCAGCAACTAGAGTTTTCCTGAAAATTGAAGACTGTTCTGATGAACACTGGGTGACTTATTTTACTATTTACCAGGTTGTAATTACGCAACAAGCAGGAGCAATGTTTACATCACAATGTACACAGTAAGCACCAATAAACATAAACAAGACCGGTGCCTAATTTGATCATAAACATGTTAACAAAGAGACACTGAAACAGGAATACAGGAGTACTCAAGTACCATCTATCGATAACCACCTATTTTTGTCATTGCAGGATGTAATCTTGTAATTTCTACATGTTAAATTATAACAGATTTGTGATGCATTTCAGGACCCATTTCAGCAGGTCATGATATCCAAAGTTTCTATGCATAGGCAATAAGTTATTCCATATGCTGGACCAATGCATGCACATATCACAGTTGCTGTCAGTATTAGTGAACAGTGTAGCTTTTTTTCTTTCAACTTATGTTATCAAACTAGCGTCCAATTAGTCAGATGACAAAATATCAGATGGTGCCATGGCATCAGTGGTTCCCAGTGATGCTTTCTACTATTGAGACCTGAGCAATGATAATAAAATGGTTTTGTTTTTTTTGGTTAAATGAAAACAGAGCAGGCTACATCACTCCTGTTTTGAATATGTGCTTAAATATGTTTTTTCTTACCTTGAATCTGTCTCCTTAAAGTGTCTGTCTGTACAATAAGCAGCATCTCTTCATGTTTCAATATTTCAAGCTGTACATTATACAATTCCAGCTGTACTTCATAATACTGTACTTCCAGCTCCTCCACTACAGTTAAGTTCTCTTCTTGTTCACTGAGGTTCTCCATCTGTGTTTATAGAAAATAGAAAGCATTAATAACAAAATATACAGCATGAAACATGCATGGATGCACAAGTACCTGCACAGAGCCTGGCCTAACTGGCAGCTACTTAGATGCTTTGGTATGGAAAACAGCAGAATGTTAGAAATGGCTTGGAGCAGAAACTCAGAGGAGCAGAAAGTCTTATTTACCTAAACTGTAATTTTATCTTAACTCTACCAGGAAAGACTTCACTATAATCCGCACAAACAACACTGCTCCTGAAAACAATCATATATGGTACAGCACACTACTCTTGAAAAATAAATATCAGGTCTTCTTAGCAGCAGTTAGATGCCATCAAATCAAGAACATCAGAAGATTAAAATTACGTATCTTTATTTTGCACTGTTGTCTGAAAATAATATCTAGTCCTTGTCTCCCTAAAACTAACAATTTTAAATGTTAGTATCACAAACCCTAACATCACACCTGACCTGTAAAAGCATGTATCTTAACTTCTGCTAAGTGTCCCGAACAGGCAGGAGAAGTTTTAAAAGAAACTGGAGACGTGCATTTTTCCGCAACTTAAAGCCATGTTGAAAAGCTAAGCCGTATCACGGACAAAGACTGAAAGTTTATATCCATGAACATTTTGGTAGATTTTGACCAGCACTTCACACAACAGTGACAGAAAAGACAGCTTCACAAGGTCTTACATTTTTCTGAATGCCAGCTCTCTTGTGTTTCAGGCACAACTCTCTAGCCCTCAGATGCTGAAGAGTTTCTTTAGCTAACATACATTTCAGGTTTTCTAGTCGTGGCAAAGCCGATGCCCAGGTGGCTTTACCAAATCTCTCCTGATCTTGTTCCATCTGTTTGTGCATTCCTGCAGATTAAAACATTGCAGTATTACGAGAAATGCAGTCTACTAATATCCCTTGTGTGTCTCCATTATAGCTACAGTACTTTAAAATGCTGATGCTATTAAACAATTTCTGAAGGTTCTTTAGAAATTTCAAGACTAAAAGGTTATATTTATTTTATATATCTAAGTAAAATACTTGACTATACCATGGCAATACGCAGGGTTACACAGCAATTCGCTCCTTGAGGCCTGCATATCAAGCATTAAATGTGTACATGGTTTTTGTTCAAAGCCTTGCAGCCATAAGTCTCAGGCCTTGATAATATTTGTATGCAAGCCAAATAAAAGTTGTAAACCAAACTGGTTATAAGATACAAATCTTAAGTGAATAAAATGCTTCTTTCTTAAGCTGGACACTTATCCTAACCTCAGGGTCTGCAGCGAGAGACCAACAAATGTGGTAAGAAGAGCTCTCAGTCCCTCAAATCAAGTATTTACAGAACCTTTTGTGTAAATCACTCAAATTACCTGTCAGAGCCTTTGAAGTTTCCTTGAAGTAGTTCACAGTGATATCTTGAATAGAGCACACAGCATTCTCAGCTCGCTTAGTCCATTCTTCTGCATCTTTCTGCAAAGCTTCTACTCTTCTAGGCCCCAGATTATCATACTGCAAAGATTTCTGCAAGGAGACAAAATTCCGAGTTAGCACCCAGTGGTGCAGCCCGCAAAGACTTTTCAAACAAGGCAGAGCATAGCGGCAAACATGACCTCTCCCTCACCTGTCACAAAGCAAATCACTACTCATGCCTATGGTATTACCTTGTTCTCATTCTCTTGGCTAACTCAGAACCTTTGCTCACCAATCGTGACTTTACCCTAAACTTTGGATTAATTTATTTCCTAAAAAATGTTTAAACTAACCCTTAAAAATCATCTTCAACACAAGTATTTTTAGTTGTTACTAAAAGTATCTCAAACCCACTCTTCAATGTACAATGTTCTTTTCTGTTTTCCCCCATGTGTTGACAGCACATTGCCCTACCAGGTTCTTCAGTTTGGCAGTTCTTTCACACAGGAAGGGATGTAGAAAAGAAACGTAAGAGTATTTTCAAGCCCACAAAGCACACATGAGCCTAAATACTCCTTATCTTTTTTTTTTGATAGAGAAACAAACTTTGTATAACCCCTTCCAATTTTCAGTTTTAGTACAGCATACTGGATATTTTATTTTCAGATTTAAACATTCAGTATTCAGGAACCTCTGTCTGAACGTAAAACTGTTCTACTATTTTCAAACATACTAATAGCTCACTTTAACACTCTTTAAGGAAAAAAAACAAAAACAAAAACCAAAACCAAAGTAGATGGCTGTCTTTACCAGGGGCATAATTTTCAGTATGGGCTTCCAGTTTAAGATACACAGAAAAACAAATTAAAGCAGTGACAACTGACATGTTTTAACCTGTACTTCTAGCAGATTATAGCATTAATAGAAAACTGTTTTGTGTGGTAAAGTCTCCTCTGCCTTTTCTTCTACCATCACAATTAATCTGGTGTATGAGCATTGCTGGGGGATGGCATTCTCAGTGCCACAATAAAGGCTACTTAGATCTCTGTAAATTCAGCCTACCAAAGAGAAAACCCCAGAGAGCTGGAGCTTGGGGATTCCTTTTAGCTCCTCAAAACAGAGGTAATGGGGGCACAGGTGGGAAGACAGCTGCAGTTCTATTCAAGCCAGTACCATGGATTCTGAAAATGGTTTTGCCTTGACTCAGAATTTCTCAGTCACTTTTGATGGCTTGCCAGGGGAAAAAAAGGCAGGTACAGACAGAAGTACAAAATGTTAAGTGATTTGAGTCTAAACTGCTCCAAAAGCAGCTGATGCCCTACTATGTAACTTTGCCTTTGGCTCCGTAAAGGCAGACCTACCAGGATTTCCAGCTTGTACAGTGTCGCCAGCTCTCGCATATCTCTGAAGGGCTGCAGTAAATACTGGTAGAATTGTGTTGCCATGGTGACCAAATCCTGATAAGCTTCGTCTTCTTCTTCATAAACCTTCATCAAAGCCACCATTGTGTCAGCACTTTTATGCTGCTGAAGAATCTAACGGGATAAAAGGTAAATCAGTCTCAGCTGCTTTGCGTGCTGACTGCTGACAAGCTCTGGTGGAAAGGCCCTGCCATTTGTCATTCAATGAGCAGGGAAGACTTCCTTCTGCACAGGAGCCATACACCAGGCATTCAGCAGCCACCCCTAGCTGGAAATATCTTTTAATATCTCACTGTTAAAGGCACCAACTGCTGCACATTACTCCTTGGAGTCTCCCAGTGCAATGTGCCTAGGGCTTCTACCACAGAAATTCCAATAGCTGTGTGCAGATGACTTTGTTGCTGCTTTTTATGAACATGAATGGGAAACTAGGGAAATCTGTGTACTGGAAAGACAAGGAAAGTATTCTTAAACTAGCTCTTGCATTGCTTCCACAATTAGTAAAGGCCTGATAGTATGAAATTAATTTCTGGATCCAGAATTGCTGACTTTGGGCATAGAAAAATCAAACTGCCATTTAAAAACAAAAACTCAGAAACTGATTTCTATTCCTGATATACCCTGCAGTTAAATTCCTTAAATGCATTTAAACAAATAGACAATTTAGTTTATTCTAATCTCAGTTGTAGGGATACCACACTTTGTAAGTCTTCCATGGAAGAACTGCCTTCCTGATACACTAGTCCTTATTTAAGGTCTTTATTTGCTTCTGTGACAAAACACAAAGTGGAAAACTTCCCTCAACTGCATTTGTTTATTGGCACCAACTTAAGTGTCAAAAGATTTCCTGACAGCAGCTAGCAGAGATCATGGTGTGCTCTATCTGTCAGGACAGAGTGAGCCAGCTGAGAGAACACCACTAAGTTCCACTGAGGAAAAATACCTGTTTGCTCACAGCTCTGTAAGGAGGGAAGGGAATACAGGGTGTTTGGTGCTACAACAATGAGAAAAAGCATTAGAAATGTAAGCTTGACTGTGTTGCAACAGAAAAGCACTCAAGTTAAACCATGTTTGCTCTTGCCAGCTGAGCCTAGGTAAGACAGCAGAAGTAAAGTTCCCAGCTGTGGAGGCATTTCCCAAGGAAAATCTGTTGAAGTCAGCTCAAGAGCATTTCTTACCCATCCTCCCTCCAGGCCTGGGACAGGGGAACAAGGGCATATGAACTGCAACATTTCCAATAATCCCAGAAGTCCCATGGCCTCTTGGGCTTCCCTAGGAGCTCATGGCAGATCAGACAGTCCTAAATGTGCCTGCAGCAATTTAATAGTCTGCTTTTCTGTCCACAGTATCAAAGCCAAATAGAAACACAATAGTTCACTTTCTGGTTCCCACACTCCAAGCCAGTAGCAAGGGTCATGCTGCTCCTAGAAAATGTTTACAGCAGTTAAGAGGGGAAGTATTAGTGAAATTTCAAAGTCAATTCATGAGACAATTATTCATTACAAGGGGTTGAGGGGAGCATAGCATTTTGTCTGTTTTAGAATATAATCCTTTACACAATCTGACACTTCTCATAGAATTCTGGTTCATCACCAGCCTGACTCCTCTGGTTGATGTAACAGTATTGCACTTGGGTTTTTTACTTTGAACACAAAGTATGAGTTTCAAAAAAAGCATTACACATGCAAAAAAAGTATTTACACAATACTACTCTCCTCCATCTTGTACAAACACCTTTTGCATTCTTCAGAATCAACTTCCTGGCCCAGCGGATGAAGTATCTGAGAATGACCTGGACACAAAAGGGGAATAAGGATGCTCCAATACTTAAGGCTAGCCTAGCACCGAATGAGGTAGGGTTTATGTCTTGAATCCTGTATAACTTGGTCTAGACTGCAATTAATTTGTGTCCCTGTTAGGCCTGCAAGGGCCATGAACTGTTATAATCAGTTACAGACAGTACAGCTTTTGTATACAAGACTGCATAAAGTTGATGTAAGCTACAGTTGTGGTTTTAAAGTGTCTTTCTGAAACAGTAATGTTGTTACAGCCATGAAATAGGAAACAGAAGGCTGAAGCCAACTGTCTTTTCTCCAAAGCATGATCATTTTCATAAAATACCTTTTAGCTTACTTTGCCATGAAATAGACTGCAAAGATACTGCAAGAAACTACAGCAGCTACACACTGCTGAGCCTAAAGTATTTGTAAGCTCTCATTTTAACGTATCATTGCCTGAATTGCAAGCATGTTACTAGATACCATCCCTTAAACTTATGCTTACTACAACAGGGGGAAAAAATGCAGGAACACATCTACAGCAAGAAGCAGCTTATGGCGCTAAAGGGAGAAAGGACTGACAGCATTTGATCATACAATCATGACGCCATAATTTGACACTTAACACAGTTTCTCTAACTACAAAACATCTGTTTGGCATAGGCCAATGGCCAGGTTTGTTTTTAATAAAAAACTGAGAATCCCCAAGTTAAAGAAACTAGCGCAAACAGGCAGTGCAAGACCTTCACAGGTTAGAAGATGAGAGCATGATTGCACTCTCAGTTTCCATCTCACCCATTGCACAACACTGCTGGATATTTTTAGCAAAGTGTTTTTTGCAGGAGCACATGCAGATTAAGTGCCCCAATGTCTTACAGAGGCTGTCCAACGGTGCTGACTTATTCCCCACTTAATAAAGCAACACTCAAAGACTGATGACACTCAGTACCTGAGAAAGTTGACTTGCTGGTTTCCAGACAACATAAAGTGTTTGTGGGCACTACTATAAGCAAGACAACATTAGTGACTTGGTCACCCTTGCTCACATCACCCGAACATGCGACCTGAGTGACTGCAGCTCTTGCAGCAGAGGCTGCCAGACTCACACCTGCAACTCCCAGGTGACAGGTGCTAAAACTGAGCCACACGTCCGAGCTGCGCTGCAGCACAAAGCAGTCAAGGTGGACCAACACCGAGGGGAAACTCGTCTCTTCCTGCAGTACCCACACCCCGCTGTGCTCCCTCGGGGAGAGCAGGCCCACTCCGGAGATGTCCGCTGACCTGGCAGCGGGGCCTGCCAAGGCCGCTGCCCCGCTCAGGCCTCCCCACCCTCCGCCCGGCCCCGGGACCCGTACCCGCCTCAGGGTCTCCTTGGCCCGGGCCAGGTGGCCGCGCAGGGCCTTCGCGCGGAGCTCGTGGAGACTCTCGAAATACTCATCGTCGCGGCGGCGGTCGGCGGCGAAGAGGGTGTCCAGCACCACGCGGCCGCCGCAGAGCTCCAAGGCCCAGCCCAGATAGAGCTCCAGCTCCCGGCACAGTTCCTGCACCTCGGCCTCGCTCGGCACCGTGCCTCCGGGGAACAGCACAGCCCAGAGCCCGCCGGTGGCGACGCCGGGCAGCGTGGACGGCAGCGCGGGGAACGCGGGCTCCAGGCGCGGACAGACGGCCGACAGCTGCTGGTGGACGCCGCGCAGGGCCGGCGCCGAGAAGAGACCGGCCCAGCTCTGCGGCGCCTGAGCCGCCGCCTCCGCCCGGCCGTGGCAGGTCACGGCGAAAGCGCCCTCCACGCCGTTCCAGGCCACGAGGAAGCGGAGCCGCGGCGGCGGCTGGGGCTCGGTGAAGGCGGTGTCCCGCACGGCCACCCACCCCTCCAGGCTGTCGGGCTGCGGCTCCATAATGGCGCACCCGCGGAGCCAAACACAAACGGAGAGGCCTTAAAGGCACAGCGCGCACACGGCGAGGGCGCCGGACCCTCTTGCAACGTCACCGGAAACTCGCGGGCCCATTGGCGGAGGTGGCCCCGAGGGGCGGGACCAAGGCGTGGCCGGGGCGGGCGGGCTCCCGTGGCTGCCACAGAAGTAAACCCCCGAGAGGGGATGTGGTGTGTGCGGTGTGTGCAGTGGCTGCGGGAAGCCCCCGGGTGTGCAAAACCCAGTGGTTTTTGTGAAATAAGCAGTTGTTTCCGTGGCTAGCGGCGGGCTGGCGCACGGGCACACACAGCCCTGCGGGAAGGAGCAATGGAGTTGCCTCACGGGGACCTCACCGGCATTTCAGTGCACCGCAGGGCCTGAGCCCTTGGCTACACTGGCTAAGGGAAAGCTGCCCTGTGTCCCAGCAGTGTTTCTCCCAGCCGTCATTCCCAGGAATTCCCGGCTAAATTTCATAACTTGTTCCCTTCTCTGAGCCCAGTGAATCCTTGCATACCTCCCCCACACTTTGAAATGAGGGTGGCGGGTGGCCCCAGGCCCAGAGGCCCCTAACTGATAATATCTGCAAGTTTAACTACAGCTGACTATACAAGCACAAAGTAGCTATCAGTGGAAAGGCAAAAGAAAACGGCAAATAGCAGATCTTTGTCCTCCTTTGCCTAAGTTTCACCACAGCCAGGTAGGTTTTGTTACTCAGAAGTTATTAACAGAAATGCTTTCACTAAAGTTGCTGTGAAACTTATTCCAGGAACTGAATGCTGATGACCTTCAGCTGAACAATCGGTAAGTGTATAATCAATACAAATGTTGATGGAGAAGCACAGCTGACTTCATTGTCCTAGTAGATTTCCTCTCTAGGCAAAAGCCAATTACTGGCTTTTAGCAGGATTTGGATTATTTTCCTCTCTCAAAAACTCCTTCTGCTTTATCACCCCACATGATAATGTCATCAATGCATTGCATTGCTCATGTTCCAGTGCAGTGTGGGTCAGTCCACGGCAGATGGTAGGGCTGTGGTTTTGACTTTCAGCCTGGGAACAATGCTGATAACACCGAATGGTCCTTCTATCAGATTGATGTCTCTCCAATTTAGAGACAAGGATGTCATGTGGGACAATGTTGAATGCTTTGCACAAGTCCAGGTAGATGACGTCAACTGCTCTACCCCTGTCCATCATACCTGAAAAATCATGGCAGTCAGGTGAAGTTCCTGACGACTGGAGAAAGGGAAATATAACCCCCACTTTCAAGAAGGGGAAAATGGATAACCCAGGGTATTACAGAGCAGTCAGTCTCACCTCTGTGCCTGGCAAAATCTTGGAGCAGATTCTCCTGGAAGGCATGCTAAGGCACATGAAAACCAACAAGGTGCTTGGTGACAGCCAGCATGGCTTCACTAAGGGGAAATCCTGCCTGACCAATTTGGTGGCCTTCTATGATGGGGCTACAGAACTGATGGACAGCACAGAGTGCGAATGCAGTCCCCCACTACCACAGCGCATGGCCACAAACCACCTTGCAGTCAAATGGTTCTTGTCCTTAAGTCAACTAAGTCCTAAGGTGGTCATACTTACGATACCACCACCTCATGGGCCTCTGAGGGGAGTGGAGAGCAAAGGTGTTTTCATAAAGCCCGTATCTCTTATTCAGACCTTGTGTGCTGAATTTAATTCATAGTAAAAATGTTATATTCTAGCCGTTGGAAGCAAAGCTGACACTGCTAATTTTTCAATAAATGAAGGCTTGCAAGATAATGCAGCTTAACAGCATAAGAGCAAAAATGAGTTCTCAATTGAAAAAGTAATAAAATCTGTCTGGCAGCATAAATGTTAACATTTCAGCAAAGGCTACCTCATTTCTGTGAAAACATTTCTGCTTTGATCTCACAGCTGATGGAGGCACTGTCAGCACTAATGAGATCATGACTACATGGGTAATTAACTTGTGTTCCCTTAGCAAAACAGCAAACAATTGCACTGCTAGAAATGTGAGGGAATGACACCAAGTGTAATTGGAAAAAAAGAGGAAAAAGCAGAGCTGTCTCAAGATCCAATAGATGTTTCCCCTTGTGCTGCCCCCTGAGCTCAAGATGTATATAATGCAATGTTCTCAGACATAAAAAGCTCTTGCCAGCAAGGCTGGCTCGGTAGCGTGTTCACAAGCAAAAGGTTATGTATGCTGGACAGCTGTGGGTTTGAGCAGATAGATACATAAAGCTGGAGTGCTACAGTAATCATAATAATCAGTGGTAATGTACAGCCTACTTTTTATCAGGTGAACTGCTGCTGAGCGCAGACTGAAAGGATGTATTTATGGGAACACCACCCTAGCTGGGCCATTGGCCACATTATTCCCTATAATAGTTTTCCAGAGGTCTAGCATACACCTACACGGTGGGATGTATGTGTATATATATTTATGCAACCCTACAATTTCAGATTTCTTCTAAATTCTGAATTTTAATATTTTTTCTAGACTCTGATCTTGATTAGCAGAGTAAAGCTTTTGTTAATTTAACAGAGAAAATAAATTTGCCATCAATCCTTTGCAAAGAACAGAACAGGTATTTCTATTTAATTGTGCAGGAATGCTGTAGGTGTGCATCCAGCCATTTAAATCAGTTTGTGCAGGAAGCATGTTTAGGGTGGTGAGGCACTGGAATAGGTTGCCCAGGGAGGTTGTGAATGCTCCATCCCTGGCAGTGTTCAAGACCAGGTTGGACGAGGCCTTGGGTGATATGATTTAGCGTAAGGTGTCCCTGCCCATGGCAGGGGGGTTGGAACTAGATGATCTTAAGGTCCTTTCCAACCCTAACTATTCTATGATTCTGTGATTCTATGTATCCCATACACAACACTCTGCATAACACCACAGCTTTGGAAACCACACCTAAAGTCAATGACTGCACGCTGCAGGGTTTATTAATACCATCTCAGAAAGTGAGAGGGTGCTCTGGCCTTAGCAAGAGCTCTCTATAATTGTTCCAAGTACTTCAGGTCCAGGAAGCAATGTTCGGAGCCTTTTCTCAGTGTATGACATTCATGCTGCTGACACTCAAGTAGCACGCTGCTGAAGGACAGCTGGGGCACATCTATATTTGTTCCATTGCTCATTGCTGGCATGTCCCTATCTGAGCAGAGACGGTCTAGGGTTACAGCAGTGTCTTCCAACTGCAGTCATATGAAAGTGGCAGCGAATTGATTTCATGTGAATTAATTTTTACTAGGGGAAATAAATGTGAAGTTTGATGCCATCTGAGCTATCAGAAGAATTTATGATGTCTTAAGATAGAAGGCAAGTTTTTAGGTAGTAACATTCTTTGTTGTATATTTTTGATAACTGATGGTTACTGACTTGAACATTCTTCACTGTAATTGTATCTGTGCTGTAAACTGAGCAATCATCTGAAAATCTTATTTAGGCAGCAGGGTTCCAGATGAGCTTAATTATGCTAATTTTAATTTATGTAATTTAATTTCATTTTAGTGGGAAAATACTTGTTAATTCACTTCTCTAGTTAGTAGTAGCTTCTAAAGCAAGCCTTATTGTTATAATTATGGAGAAAAAAATTTTCACGGCGGCCAGAGAACATTTCCTGGTATGTGTCAAGACCTTTTCTCTGTTTAATATGTTAGAATTTGCATGATTTATTTATGCCTTTAGCATAAATATTATTTCTGCTTCAGTGTTTTTGTCTATATTGCTAGCTGTAGAATCCACACCCATGTCTGCAGTGCCAGAAGACAGAGGACTTCTCTGTGTGTTTTCTTACTGACCGATAGGCTGGATGGTTTTCAGCCATTGGTATGAAACCAGAGAGTGGGAAGTTTCTTAGCATTTTTCACTAGTTTGAGAAATTGCTTTCTAATAAGTAACTGACTGTGTTAACTTTGTTAGCTAAGTAATCCTAGCTAAGTAATCAGGAATATTGGTAACATACTGATGACATTATTTTGATAGCAAGTACTCAGAACTATAAAGACCATAAAAGGTAGTTTGAAAGCAAAGCTTATGTAAAAGCTTCTGCAGAAGCTCTGATAACCTTGATTTCTGGCTGACCTTTTGGATTTTTTTTCTGTGAGAAAGTGTTTTTAAAGCTTTCATATACTTCACTTCACTAGGACTAGATATAACTAGAGATACATTAATATTCAGCTGAAATCTTGCCATGAACTCTTTTGCCTGTAGTAGTAAGCTGCTGGTGAAATTGACCTGACTAGTTTTGTGGTATGATTTTGTTTGTGCTGGTGAACAGTGGAGGGCTGCAGGGACTTCACAGCTCTGACTGAGAACTGCCTCTGTACTCGTATTATTTCATGTGCTGTTGTTAATATAGGCTGGGTGGAAAGAGTGGGGTTGGGGCATTAAAATTGCCTTGCACCTTTAAGGTTCATGCATGTACATCTACTTTATCATATACCTTTGCATTTTGCATCCATGTGCTTTTCACACCTCCCACATTGCACAGAATGGACAAAGTGTGCAAGCTCCAGGTCAGAACAGACTTCTCTCAGTTCAGGGGTCAGTGACCCGCCTTGCTTCCACGTTACTGTATGCTTTATCATGGAGATCATCACTGATCTTTTTTCTGAGCTTCATTTATGTTAAAACATGTATTTTCACAGCACCTGAGAACCCCCAAAAGGCAGTATTTTTCCTTGGTTTATAGAAAGGACCAATACCTGGACTGATAGTAATGTTAAAAGAAACCTCAGGTTTCAATATGGCAACTTGAAAAATCCAGAACAGGATTTTTCAGTACATTTCCTAGTGTGTTATGTGGCATCAGTGGTCACAAGAGAGGATATCCTGCAGTATTGCCTAACTAATGGTTCAGAAGGAGCACTTCAGAGTATCTGAAGGGTGGGCAGACTTCAAACCAGGCCATCTCCAATTGTACAGAACAGCGCTAAATGCACTTGAAGCACAGTTTCACTGTTGAGCCAAGAACAAGAGTACCCCACAGTTTGGAAATCGGACATCAGGGTCACAGATGAGCCACTCAGAAAACACAGGATGCATGCTAGAGAGAGCTCTCTGCTTTGCTTTGCATGGAGGTGAGAAAAAACAAGCTACCTGTGGCTTCCCTTCAGAAGCTTCACTTAGTACATAAAGCTGCTGGATTTGGTCTTTCCCATGTCTACCTCCAGGCCCTGAGTAGTCTTCACCAAACTTATTCCATCCTTATATTTTTAAGCAAGAAAATCTCATGCTTGATATCTGAGTATGTAGCTAAGGATCTTTCTTATCTTTTACAGGATTGAGACTTGTCACCTCACAAGCCTCACTGAGGATACCAATGTCATCCAGATCTGACAGCAGAAGAGAGTATGAAACTAGTGACCAGTTGACTGGTTGTTCAGCAGTCCCAGAGTCTAGTGAGATTGAGCCTGGAGGCTTGATATTTTATCACATGGATCTGTATGGCTCAAAGGAGAGGTTTGATATCTTTCCTGAAGAGCTATCTGCTCAAGGAGAAAGATCTCTGGGGGATACGAGAAGGGAATCTGCACTGAGTAGTGAAAAATTTCAGCAGTCGCAAGAAGCTGGATATGACTTGGAAAAGGAGGTTGCAGAATTGGCTAAAATGTATGGACTTGATGAGGATAGAGAAAAAGAGCTTGAGCTTCTTGGAGGACGTCTGGAGATGGCGGAGAGCAGATGGCCATCTGCTCACACAGAAAAAGCAAGATCACAAGGCTCTGTGTATAATGCATCAAAAAGCAGCTCTTCAGTGAAAGATCAAAGTCAAAGCACAAAGCAACGGGGACTTCCTGGCAAGGCTTCTCAAGATGAAGATGAGAGCAAAGCCAGAGCAGAAGATGAGGCCGAGAGCCCCATACGGTCCGGAGAGGGGCTTAGCACCAGTGGCATTTCAGATGAGTGGAACAGTCAGGCTGTCAGTGAGGAGGAGGAATCAGGGGATGTTTTTTGTTCTACCTGCAAGATACCAATCCGAGCTTTTGACAAACTGTTTGGTGAGCACAAGGATCACGAGGTGACTAAGCTCCCCAATGCCATGGAAAGCGAAAAGGTAAGAGTAATACAAGTGTACTGCAGTGCCTCTGTAACAGTGTTCAGACATACTAAGAATCACGCTGGGTGTTTTGGTAGGAGGAGATTCATAAAAACATGTGCAAGTTGGAAGAGCAGATTGCTCAGACGGAAAACTTTGCCAGTCACTTGGAGGAAATCTTCATCACTGTAGAGGTAAGTTATATTTTCTTGAGCTAACAGTGGTACTGGGTTTAAAAATGTTTTGACAGTCGTAGTGTTAAGTTGTTAATGAGGTGAGTAGTTGAAGTAACAGAGCACAGAGTTACCTTGGGGTATGCCTAGGCTGAGGTACTTACGAAAATTCATCCTAATGAATTTTTTAACTGGGCTGGTGAAACCATACTTAGCATTTGCACAGACACTTGCATTCAGAAATAAAGGGACCCCTGCTCAGGTTAACTTAGTTTTAAATGGCCAAGGACCTGTGATCCAGCTAGTCCATCCACAGCCTACCCCTTGCATTCACTTAGTTTTATTTACAGATGCCAGGTATAGGCAAACCCTTGGAGCACCTGCACTGATCTACAACATGGCAGGGGTTGTGCTCCTGCTCAGTTGATGTCAACTTGGCACCAGGGGAAGGGTCCCAGGTGGCAGCAAGTCAAACAAGCAGTAACTCAAGGCACCTACTGTCTTTTCTCTGCCACATGTGGCACAGGACATTGGTGTCTGAGCAGTAGGCAGCTGCTGGCAATAAAGCTTTGCCTGCTCCTTAAATCTTCTTCCTAATGCTTTCTCCAGCAGCATTAGCTGCTCAGCTCCCTCAGTGAGAATCCAGGGATTTCTCATGGAAGGATGTGCTTGACTGTGTTGGTGGAAATACTTGGGAGATATGGCAAGGATATATCTGTGGTTGTGCTCCCTTGGGCTTAGGTTGAAGACAGTTGCCTTGCCTCATTTTTAAATTATCATTTCTGATGCTGTTACGCTTGGAACCAAATCCAACACCCTCTTGTGCCTCAGTGGGGGGGGTGAATGATTAGAATAAACCCCTAAAAATGCAAATTAGTCAAATTACAGCTTCTGCGCACTGGCGTTACCTTCCTGACAAGGAGGATTTTAGGCAGACCTGAGTGAGTTTTTTCCCAGGCCTGACACCAATGAACAAACCCCCAAATGTCTTTCAGGAAAACTTTGGGAGGCAGGAGGAGAACTTTGAGGTGCATTACAATGATGCAGTGCAAGTGCTTGCTCAGAAGTATGAAGAACAGTTGGAAGCACTGGGGGAAGAAAAGAGGCAGAAGCTGGAAGCATTATATGGGCAGCTGGTCAGTTGTGGGGAACATCTTGACACCTGCAAGGAGCTGACAGACATAACCCAGGAGCTTTACTTGGAAAACGACAAAGCCAATTTTATGAAGGTAAAGAACTTTAACTGGCAAGGCTAATTGCTAATTGCTCTTTGCTGTTTGCAAGTAGTCCCCAGCTGCAAAGACACAAGTGGCTTTATTGCTAAAGGGCATTTGGGGTGCCTGATACATGGTGCTGTCATTGCTCCAGGTGCTTGGTATTATGGCATTGACTTAGTGGGGCAACACAATGGGACCAAAATGCAGAAGCAGCAGCAGGAGTTTGTAATGTGGATGCTCAATGATTTGTGAGCTTCACTGGGGTTCAGAGAGAAGATATCTCACTAAAAAGCTTATCTCAGGATACTCTGGAGGCATTTAGTGTTCATTGCCTCCTGCAGGCTTAGCTCTCTTGCTCTATTCTAGGCTCACAGCAGGCAGGCTGATGCAACCACTTTAGAAGATGTTTCTTTTTCTTGCTCATTTTGTTGGAAAGTTCAGTTGAACAGGAGGCTTCGAACTAAACACATAAGGAGCTCCTGCAAAGTGATGGGTGAATCTCACTGTTGAGGAGGTTCAAGAAGTTATTTTCCTTTAGCAGGTAGAAAAATAATTGGGGAAAAAGGAAAAAAAAAAGAGTTTTCACTGCTTGATGAGTGATTGCTCTAATGTGAGCTGTCCTGTGACTCAGGTGGGTGGGAGTTTTTCTGTAGCACAGCCACAATAACTTCTGAACCAGACAGTAAAACCAGTCTTCTACCACCTCCAGTCTGCTCTAGCAGATCAGCTTGCTGTGTCACTCCATCCTGCTGAGTTCTTCATAGGAGCTGACTTTTCCCATTCCTCTGCATCTTCGGAATAACCTTTTCTCCTTAGCTCATAAACAGTTTAACATCACCCCTAGGAACCATTATTCCCCAAGTAGTGAATAGTTCTTGGTCATGAGCTCTCAGCTGCTTAGGTTTCTCCAGGGATGATACATCTGTCTTCCAGTAACAGTCACTGCTCAGATGCAGATAACTAAATTATTTTCCCCAGCTGTTGGTTTTGTTTGTGAAGGGTCTGTTGGCACTTTGGACAACTGAGGAAGGATGCAGCTCAGATGGGTAGACACTGGTCACTGCCTGATACTGCACGTTATCTTACTGTAAATTCAGCCAAGATCTGTCCATGGGAATGGACAATTAGGCACAGCTTTGTTCTCAGAGCTGGGTGAGAGCCAGTTAATTCACTCTGAGGGCAGCATTTTGGACAATTCATGTAAGACAGCTCAACAGCATGATGTAGTTTGACTCTGGACTAATGCAAGAAATGTATCTTTTCTATCTTTAACACATTCTCTTTCTTTTTTCTACAGGCAGCAATAACCATGGTTGACAGGTAGTATCACAGTCTGGGATTTTATGTCACATTTCTTCCTGCTAATGGGACATGTTATTGGAGACACTTGCATGTTCTGGACTCTGTTCAGGCACACAAATGTTACTTAAGCTACTAGAGCTATTGAAATCTTTAGTATTTCTGGTTTAAACTGCAGCAGGAAAAGTTGCTTTAAGAAGCTTAACACTCAAAAATAGTTTCAAGCTAATTTGAAAAAAAACCAAAAAACAAAACTCAGAGAGTTAGGGCATGAATAAATCACTGTTTTTAGCTTAGTCATGAGGAACTAATTTCAGTGGCTGCAACTGCTAAAGATCTTGAAAGAAATGCTCTGGATACAAATCTGACTAAAACTGAGCTCCCTAATAGATTAGTAACAGGCTTATTTATGCATTAATATAAAGGGATAGAAAGTCAAGCTGTGGGAGCTCAAAAGAGATACTGGAAGATCTTGGAGCAATTGGAAGAAGTCTTAAGCACACTAAATCAAGTGAACAAATATATATTTAAATTGACTTTCATCATTTATGGAAACACAGAGAAAAGATAGCCCTTTGTTTCAAATTTACAACACCTCGAATCGAGAGATCCTGAATTAATAATGGTGTTGTAAATTCAAAATAATGAAAGTCATGGAGCTAATGACTTGCTTCCCATAGAGGGGTGCTGGGGAAGTCTCGCTTGGTGGGAGCACAAAGGCCATGGGAGACTGAGCTTTGTACAACTATGACAACATGATTTTAAGGAAATAGTTAATTTAGAGTTTGCTGTTCTCCTCTTACCAATAGGCATCATAGAAGGGTATCTCCAACCCTACATATTAGACATATTTTTTCCCTTACAATTGCAGGCTGGAAGAATTCTTAAAAAAAGAAGTGGATTTAGAGCTTTCAACAGTGCCAGACTTTGAAGAGCGGGTCATGGATTTCTCTGAAGTTGAGCAACTAATGAACTCCATTAATATTATTCCAGGTACTCTTTCAGCTGATCATTATTTCAGACCTATTTACATTTAATTAAGAATATATATTAAACAGAATTCCATTACTTATTTGAAAAGAGAACTGCAAAAGCTGAATTAGTATCTGTTTTTCCCTGCAGATTTGTTTGTTTATATAGAGAGAGACACTGGAACCTATTTTTGGATTCACCACTCCCCCCAGTTTGTTTTCAATATAAAATTACCAAAACTGCCAAGTTTGGCCTTCCCTGCTTTTGCTGGATGATTTCCTAGAAGACTCACAAAGACTACCCCCTTCTGTTGAGGAGTGTTGAGGCATGCTTTGTTGCTGATAACTTGTCTTAACTTGTAGTTGCTTGAATAAAGTGTAGGACACCAGACTGCTTTAAATAACCTGCACAGCTTCTCTAGATAGCCAGATTTCAGTGGCTTGTTCCTCTGCTATTTAACAAACTTTTTTCCTGTTATCCACAGGAAACAGAGCAAAATCCAAACATATTTCTAATAACTAAAAAATAAAAATACAAAAGATTTTAGATCTTTTCTAGCACACCACAAGTGGTCAGAAACTACAATATGCAACTTTTATGCCCTTACATTGTGTTTTCTTAAAGTAAAATAGCATTTGCTACTTTGTTGCTTGTGCTGATGACCCCTTGTTACACAGCTTTTCCCTCATCTTTCCTCCAGAGGCTCCTCAGCCCCTGGGCTGGTGCACAGCAGTGCTGTGCATGTCAGATGTTGCTCTGCAGCATACAGCAGTATTCAGAGGCAGGGGAGGTCAAGAGAAGGATTTGGCTGAGGCTTATGTATTTTATTGTTTTGATTTGAAACAAGACTAATCCATACACCAGTGACCTGATTATTATCTACAAGTATTTACAGGGTCAACTCCTCACTTTTTTCCATGTGGGAGCAATATGACCCTATTCAATGCCTAGGCTTTGTGCAGACAGCTTTGTGAGAGGAGAGGTATTTGCCTGTGAACAGATTATGTTTATACATTCAAAACCTGGCCTGTTTTCCCCTCTGCAGCTCCTTGTGCCCCTGTGATCAATCCCCAGGCTCCCAATGCAGCAACTGGCACCTCACTAAGAGTTTGCTGGAGCCTCTTCTCAGATGACACTGTCGAGAGCTACCAACTGAGCTATAAAACAGTGAACAATGAGAGGCGCAGTGACGAACAACCAGGTAAGGACGCCTGGACCCAAAGGGACATCTCAGCTCTCCACTGGCAAAATCAGCTGTTTCCAAAGTGCCTCTGGACTTGCTGTGGCAACTGGTACACTTTCTGTTCACCCTCTCCAACACCAAACCTGTCATATCTGTCAGCATGTTTCCTCCTTCTGGCTCTAGCACTCTTCCCCTGCCAGGTTTGCCATGCTGCCAGCTGCAGCAGGACCCAGTACAGGAACAAAGACACAATGGGGCAGCAGCTGGAATAGCAAGAGGGGGAAGGGAACAGTGGGTAGAGCCAGTCTCAACAGTAGTATTTCCTTTCCTGGAGGGTGGGCAGTGTGTTAGACACATATGTGCTGCATCCACTGCAAAGCACAGTATTTTTAGAGAGCAAATCATCATATTATCAGCATGCCACTGAAACCCCCACAGTCATTCTACAGTTTATCTCAGTGCTAATAATAGGCTGTAACTCCCCATCACCCACACACAGAGAAAAAGAACCACAGACCATCCTAAAATGCCCCACTTTTTGTTGTGACAAAAATGCCTTTGCTAATAATAATCTTGCAGACTGAAAACACCCAGTCACTTCAGCAAAAGTGGAAGCCAGCTGAGTGCCAAATGGCCAGTTCAGAAAGAAAATCTCATTAATGCATATAAATATCTCAAAGTTGGGTGCCAATAAGATGGTGCCAGGCTCTTCAGTGGTGACCAGAGACAGGATGAGGAGCATAAACTAAAACACAAGAAGTGTCTTCTCAACATAAGGAAGAACTTCTTTATGTTGAGGGTGGCAGAGCACTGGAACAGGCTGCCCAGGGGGCCATGGAGCCTCCCTCTCTGGAGACATTCAAACCCCATCTGGATGTGTTCCTCTGTAACCTGTTCTGGGTGGCCCTGCCTTGGCAGGGGGGTGTGACTGGATATCTCCAGAGGTCCCTTCCTAATGATTCTGTGAAAAGCAGAACCTGTTCAAATTTATGATGAAGAATGAGAGATTAGTAGTGAAATAATTTCAGCTCTTGTCCCACTGCTGGGATGGGATGGGATGAGCTGAGCTGACCAGAGCAGACCAGACAGCATCCCTGGAGTAGGAACATGCAAGGTCTTTTTAGAAGAAGATCCGGTGGCAGGTGGGTGACCTTTCTCTCTGGGTTTTCTTGAGTTTTTCCTCTCTGAGTGATGTGGCTCCTTCAGAAGCTGCTGTGTTATCTGATTTATTCCTCCTTAGGGGAAGGCATGGTGAAGCAGCCTGACAGCTAATCGAAGGGTACGGAGCACAAGGAACTTTCTTGAACTCAGCAGACAAAACAATGCACCTCAACTCCATTATTTGAGGCAGCTTTGGGAAGGAGTGGGTAACTCTGTAAAAGCACTGTAAACGTGGTATTTTTTCTCATTTCAGAGCATACACTGAAAGTCAAAGAAACATACTGCACCATTACTAACCTGCTGCCAAATACACAGTATGAATTTTGGGTCAGTGCTTTAAATGCCTCTGGTATCAGTCCACCAAGTGAGAGAACAGTTTATGTAACAGGTAAAAATACTTTATTCATACCGTTATGCAACCTTCATAGCGAAACTCACAGTCACCTCTGAATTTTATGCCAGTAATTCTTTCTCGGCACTTTGTTTCTTCTGATGCAAGTCTATTGACTGCATGGGAATTTCCTACTTTGATTTTAGAGCCTATCAGGCCTATTGTCCCTGTTTTAGAATTGAAGAAACAGAAGCACAAAATAACTTATTTAAATACAAGCATGTAGAAGAGCTGGAAATAAGGCTCAAGTCTTCCAGTTCTGCCAGGTGAATGCCAGCTCTCCTTTTCTTGGCCTGTAGATGTTTTGTGGATTCACCTGCTATGCTGCCCTTTGTAACTGCAGTTCAGTCAAGCACATTTTGTGAAATCCTGACAGAGAGAGGTCATAGTGAGACCTTCAAGGACCCATTCCAGATGTCTTCGACATCTTGGAGAAGAGAGGCACCCTTATGACAGAGATAAAAGCAATCATAGAAAGAAAATGATTCTGTAATCAGGCTTGATCTATGTTACTTCTCTAATTAATTCACTTTGGGACCTTTATAGTCCAAATTAACTCTTTAAATAGTACTGTTATTGCCCTGCCTGCTGTTTATTGTCCATTGGAGAAACAGTTTTCTAACTGTATTAGTTAGTATTAGTTCACAACTTTGTTCTATCTTTTAAGTTGTCAAAGCATGTTTGTTGCAAACATCTTCAAGCAACAGTTTAGCATTGTTCTTTTGACTACTTTTTAGCTCCTTCACCACCTACCATAAAGAGTAAAAAGATTCGAAGTTGTGAAAACGCAGCACTGGTATGCTGGGAATCTGGAGACATTAACCCTGTTGATTCCTACACAGTTGAATTGTCCAAGCTGGCAGATGAGGAAAACGGTGATACTATTACTGAGTGAGTCACTATTCTATCTAGTCAATGACCTGGAGAGATTAAACCATTTCAAGTCATGTGGCATCAGATAGTATTAAGAAAGGATCCACGATCCTTTGATGAATCTACCTTTACAAACATTCCTCTTAGTAAAACTAATTGTGTAAATGTAAATTACTGTACGGCGAATGGGAAAAGGGCAGAAGCAAATGTAAAAACCTGTACAGTCTGTCACAGGCTATCTGATTCTCCCAATACTGACAACTGTACAAGGTAAAGTGTTGTTGATGGGTTACAAGAGAAGCTGATGGTGTACTTTTTCTTTGTTGTTCAGAAAAATAACCTCAAAGGCCCAACTTTGTTCTCTACCCTCTCATTTTCCATGGATTTATTTTCTGTAGATCAGTTGTGGGGATTCCTAACTGCGAAGTCCTAATTCACCTCCAGCCAACACAAAGCTATCACATCTGTGTTAGAGCCCTAAACCTGGGTGGTTCCAGTGAAAGAAGTGACCCTGTCCTGATACATACCACAGGTACTGTACAGCGCAGGACAACTCCAGAAGCCTGTTGTAGCATCTGTTACCTCAACACAAAGATTCCTGCTGGCTTCAATGGCCTCTGGATCAGGTCCTAATGTCTTACATCTAACTACATATCTGATAAACTTTTAGGAAAGCAAAAATCCCTCTTTTTGTAACAATAAGTGCATTGCTTTGGCTCTGTAATTTAAAATTATTTCTGTCCAGTATATTTGATATTTGAAATTCTAAACATTTTAAATGATACTGAATTCTAAACATTTCAAAAGACAGCATCAACCCAACATCCCAAAGATGTTGCCAGCTTGCTAAATACTGAGCCACCAGTGAAGAAAGTTTTAGAGCAGTTTTACTTCAGAGGTTACCTTATCACGATCCTGCTGTTGGAAAGCATGGCAGACACAGTCAGCATTTTCTAGAGTCATTTAGATATGCAGAATCTTCCTCTGTATCTATTAACATCTTCAGTATGGCTAGAGAAGCTATGAAGACTGTTCCCCTTTATTCACTAGGAAAAAGGTAGTCCAGCTTTTAGCTGGAAGCTTTGCTGTAGTAACTGACATAGCATTTTCATCTCTGCTCTCAGTACCACACTGAGCAAGATTTAACCTTCCCCCAAAGGGAAATTGGAAGCTCTTTCCCCTCCCAACCATCTAATCAAAGCTCATTTTAATGACTTATAGGTAGACACCTATTTTCACCTTCATCACTGCAACTTCACTGGGGTGTCTCAAACTTCCCACATCACTCACAGGTGGTTAACAACACACCTGGGTCTCTTCTGCCCTTACCTTCAGTAATTTGCAAATTGTACTTTTTCAGCAAGCTGGCTGGGCACCCATTGATCTGCAAAGAGCCACTTTTCAGTAAAAACCTGCCTGCCACACAGCAGTGACACCACTGAAAAAGAAATGGTCATTCTTAAATCCCTGGAGAGGAAGTCTGTCATTGTGTTACCATTGTTTGTGTGTTTTTCAACTGCTTAAATCAAACTCAATATTTGAAATTGCCAATTCTGCTTGCACAGCATGTGTTTGTTTTCAGCAGCACATGCCTGTAATTGCCCTGTCATTGTTTGTATTGTATTTGCATTGAAGTAACTTGCAGTTTGATTATAATGATTTCATTTGGGATTAGCATGGAGAGATTTATCTTCTCTGAGTCTACATTATGCAAACAACTAATGCAAATTGACCTGTCTGCTGCAAGCGCTCACCTCCAACACTGGGAATGACCTTTGATTCTTACTGGGATGGATACACAAACACCAACTACAAACACCAGCTGTGACGCACATGGCAGGCCATCAGAGTGCAGTGCGTCAGACCTGCTTTGTGAGCTCTCCAAACAGGGAGAGGCAGAAGCACTTTCATCCTGGGCTGGCTTAGGTCACTTACTCACCTCTCTGAGGGCTGATCTGGTTAGGGGTGCTGAAGCATGAGGCATGCTGCATGTGGCACCTTTGTAGAGATCCTTCTCTTCAAACTGTGCCCAGCATTTTTGTGGAAGAGTGAGGCCATGGAGAGGTCTTTAAGCCCCCTTTTCCTTTCAGTGATTACTTAATCTCTGAGGAAGATGACTTGAAACTGGACAGTCCATTGCAGGGACAAACCCTCATCTTTGAATAGCTATTTTCTGTGCGATGCCTGCAGCTTTGGGTTCCAAACCAGGTTAAGGCCTTTTTCTGCTTTTCACAAGGCTGCAACTAAACAGTGTTAAGCTGTAAAACACCCATTTATTTGAAAAACTCCAAATGGACAACTCTGTCTTCTCAATGTCAGCCACAGGTTCTCTCCAGAACACTGGTTAATCCTTCTGTGGACTCCAATGACATTTCACCACACTCTTGCTGCAAACCACAATGCCGTAAAGGAGTTGCTGGAGTTTTCCTCATGCATTCTCTCTTGCAGGCACCTACTTCTGCCTTAATGAGGACACAGCCCATCCTTTGCTGGCGATTCTAGATGATGGATTTACAATTGCATGCGATGAACTGGAAAACCCAGAGTGTGATCTGCCCGTCTATGATAACAGCTTTACAAGGTAAACTGAAGAACTTCAGTTGCAACTAATGCATGTGGCTTGTGGCTGCTTCACCTACGACACAGCCCTGCGCTGAATTTAAATCCACTGAAAAGGTTTACTGGTATTGAAGCTCTCCTTACCTTCAAGCCACGCACCAACCAGAGTGTATATAAGTGCATAATGTACAGTGTTTTATCCATCTTGGTTTTTGGATAAGTGGTTATAATTGTCTTCAGTTTTAGACTACTGCAAACACCTTTATCTGTCCTTTAAAAATATGGATTAGTCATCTTTTATAAAATCAGGTTTATTTTAAGGTATTTCAAGTTGGGCTCCTAAGGTAAGTTTGAAATGTCAGGCTTTCCCATGAGTCCTCAAAGAGTAAAACCTTGCATCCGTTTCTTCAGGCCCCCTAATTTCACTGGGGTTATTGCTCCTGGGTACCATTACTGAACTCCATCTGGCTTGCTGCTCTTTTCTGAGAATTTCTAGGGTGACTAATACATATAATTTACAACATCCCTTTGCACGATGTGTGCACCGATCTCTGTTAAATTCCAAAGCTTTCTTCCGATTTAATTCTTTAAAGAGCCCAAAACCCCTAGAAAAACGTTATACACACACAAAAAAAAAAAACCACCAAACTCCAGATACTCTTAATATAGCACTTGTGGGATTAAAAAAAAAAAAAAGCATAATTATTAGGCTCTGTTTTAATTACAGTGATCAGCACTTGCACACTTCCAAGACTTGAGGAGCTGCTCCTCTCTGCTGGCTGTTGCTCCCTCTCTCCTGCCCCTTCTCTGCAAGCTGCCAAGGTGATAGAGCTTTGCACATCATGTGCAGGGGGCTCTGCACATTTTCACATGTGGAGATTTAGGTGTTGCTTTTATATAGCTCTGTCCAATGGAAACCACCAAACATTCATCTTATGTAAAACTTGTTCACTACAGCAAATACTACACAGTGGGCAAAAAAACCTATTGGTGCTCTGGGCACCAGACCTTCTTTGAAAGAGGCTTTTGAAAGAGGCTTTTGCAGTTCCAAGCACAGTTGATCTGTTTGGATTTTTAAATAGATGCAAAGAAGTGTCTAATGGGGCTTTTGGCAGCTGTCATTGATTCTGTGAGTTTAAATCTCAGTCTCTGTCTAGCTGCTCTTTGAAACTTAAGCATCACTTGGAAGTTAATGCAAGTTCATAAAGAGGATTACAGATGCAGCCAGCCACAACTACATACAAATCTGCTTACACGTTAGGCACATTGAGCTGATGTTGAACAGGTATTTAAGTGCCAAAGCAAATGGTACGGAAAGGAGTGAAATCTGAATACTTGCCTCTTGCTGAAAGATCTAGCTGATAGTATTTGGGCCAACAGATTTTACTTTCAAAAAAAGAATTAGGCACTTTGCCGTTGAAATGAGACTTTGTTGTGAAACACGTTTCAGCAATCTTATAACCAGGACAGGCATCTGCGACCACAGAATAATACAAACCCTCAACTTAGTCCCATGGTGGAAAAGTAATGTTACTAGAAGGCATGGTAGAAAAGAGCCAGGAGGCAGATGATTCTCTTCATTAAAGTCATGATGATAAGCCTAAATAGGATTTCATCCCACTTCCACAGGGTGCTTTTATGTTTCACATAAACAGCCAGAGCTGGCACTCATCTCATTCTGAACTCTGAGGCTGAGTTTTTGATGCCACTGTGAACTTGAAGCCTCTTTTATAGATACTGTGAAAAAAGGAAGAATAAAAAGCTCCCAAGCTGAAAGGACCAACACTCACACTACAAGGAAATTATATTGCAAACCCTTTTGAAGTTTTTGTGATCTCCAGAAGGCTGATGTGTTTCCTAACCACAGCAGCTCCTATGGTCTGACTCAGGCTTGCCTTGGTGGCTTTGCAGCTCTCATTACTATGGTAATGTTTTGTTCACAGATGTTTACCCATCCACTTTGCATCATTCCTTTTCCTTTTCAAGCTGTAGCAACACAGCCTGAGTCCTGATTTCAGCAGCCTGTAATGTATTCCCAAGACAGCTACATGCACTTGCAGTGAACTGTACATTTGCTTTAAGGGATTGCTGGTGAGGTGGCACAGAGTACAGATATCTTGCTGTGTGTGCCCATCCTTACACATCAGGCCCTCCAAAAGCTGAGTGCAGCTCTTTCTCAGCATTACCTAGAGGTAGATGAGCTCAGTGTCTGCCACCACCATCCTTTGCCTTTGTAATTTACACCATTAGAGCCTACCACAGAAACATACAGGTTGTGTGTGTGACCCCCTCATTCAAAACTGAAGGTGTGTTTTGAAACCTGCTATCCCTGTGATGCAGCAATGACAGCTAATACTCTGTGTACTTTTCCTGAGAAAAGTGGGGGTGTAGTCTTACAGGATTCACGTTGCCCTCTTGGTTCCAGTTATGGTGTTTCAGAAGCATTTGGCAGGGGTTATTTTGCCCAACTTTCTTGCTTCAGAACTGCAAAGCTTCCCATGGGTGAAAACAGGGCAGGTGTCACAAAGAAACATGCAGGTTGTGTGTCAGGTCTTCAGCACGCAGAGTCCCTGCCAGAGCACACATTGCTGTCTGTCTCCCACAGGTGCATTGGGATCCTGGGCAGTCTGATTCCATTTCCAGGAAAGCATTACTGGGAGGTAGAAGCTGAGGAAGATACAGAGTACAGAATTGGTGTGGCTTTTGAAAACACTCCAAGACATGGTTATCTGGGGGCAAACAACTCGTCCTGGTGCATGAGGCATATCATCACACCATCAAGGTAAGGGCTGTGGAAGCTACAGTTACTCCTAGAGGAACACTCCCTAGCTGTACACCTGCAGGTAGCGCAGCAGGGCTCCTACTTTGCAGGGGGCAGCCAGAGATTTTATATCAAAGCCCAGACCAAGCACTTGGCCTGACATTCCACCACTGGCACTGTGAACAGCTATTGAAGGATACTGGAACCTTTAATCTTCCAAATCTTCCTGCTTAATAACATTCTCACATTGAAATAGGCAGTCCCAGAACTAACCTGAATAAAATCTGCACTACAGAAGTGAGCTGTAAAGGCCTTGTTTTAGGTCACCGAAACCCCAGTGGGAAGACAGAGAGTAACAGATCCACATAATCTATCAAACTACGTTACCTGGCTAAACCCAGTTGTATGAACTCTCCTACCTGTGGGAGCACCCAGCAGCCATACCTGCATGTAGAAATGCCAGCTCCCCTCTGCCAGCTGAACCTGCTGGCTTTTCCCCAGATACCTTTATACCAGCATGATGTCCTTTGACTCCCCCCGTGAGGTTTGGGCACTCTTCAAGGCATCCAGGAGCAAGAAACAGGTCACACCCCCAGGCATCCCTGAGTGTTGCCCACTGCCTGTCTGAATGGCTTACTGCTCAGCCAGGAGTGGCCAGGGTACTGCTGGGCCCCCTTGGACACCACCTGAGTGCCCCCAGCATGCATACCCAGTAAAGGATAAGGGTGGCACAGCACAGCCCAAATCTGCCTGTCCTCTGCTTGCTGGTACACAGGGAAGATTTAGATGCTCCAGTTGGCTGAAGCACACACTCCTCCCCAGGTGCAAGCTGCATAGGTAATCATCAGCAGTGTGGGCACTCACCTCCCACACAGCCACAAATGCTGCTTAATGAGGGAGACCAAACCCACTAAAGCTAATGACTCTCACATACACTGTAGGCAGGCTATTTGGTTTCCTTGCTACATTGAGCTAAGAAGGACATTGAAACTCTCATTCTTCTGAAGCAACAAGCATGGGCTTCAGACAGAAAAGGGAGCTGGGCCATTGCTCAGTTTGAGTCATTGCCATACCCATTTCCACAGGGAAGTCTCAGGTTTGAGTGGTGTAGGTGGAGGAGGCAGTTAGTGAAGAAGCTGGGCCTTATGAAATACCAGATAACTCATCACTGCAACTGAAAAATCTTCCCATTTCTGCACAGAAAGGCCCATGGTTCCCATAGAAATCATGTATCTTGTTTGCAGCATGCCACACTAGGGAGAATTGTTTGAGTAACTGTTAAAGGACCCCAGCATTGCTTGAACAGAGACTGCATAGGGAAGAGGGCTCCCTGCATGACAAAACTGCTTACCTATGGAGCACCTTCCTGGCCTCCCAATAACCCCCAGTCCAGGAATCGCAATTAGAGGATGTCCCCCTCTAGTAAATGAACTCGAAGACTGGAACTTCCCCACCAACACTGCCCAGGCTGAGGAGGAAGGTGTAGGAAAAGCAGCCAGAAATGTCATTTAGACAGTGGGATTTGACAAATGATGCCCCATAGCCTGGAGGATGCCAGCCACAATGTGCATCAGGCAGCCTCTGCCCAAGGGATTGTGCTTTCTTACAGCTGCAGGGAAGGTTGACAGAGAAAGAGGCTTGGTACCACAGGGGAACCCATGGGTAGCACAGCAGGGCCTGAAGGACAGGACTGAGCAGTCTCAACAGGCCCCCCCTGGGAGGGCCTACAGCTATCCTGGGGCAAGGTGAGGAGATGGCAAGGGATGTTCTGGGGCAAGCTGAATTGGCAGGAAGCGTGCTTTGAACACAAAGCACTTCCTTTGAGAGCAGCCAGGGTGCCCTCGGGTTTTTTGACTTCAATTTCTTGCCTACAGGCATAAATATGAATTCCTACACAGTGGGATGACACCAGACATCAGAATTACTCTCCCCCCTAGAAGGATTGGCATCTTGCTGGACTATGAGAACTGCAGACTGTCATTTTTCAATGCAGCTATTACCCAGCACCTGTACACATTCAACTCGCACTTCCAGCATTACGTTCACCCCTGCTTTGCTTTGGAAACACCCGGTATCTTACGGATACGTACTGGAATTGCAGTACCCCCATGGACTGCCCTCCCATAACCTCCGTTCTACAGCTACCATACCTACATTTAACCTGCAGTGAGCAATGTCCTCTTCAAGCATTAACTGCTCCATCACACTCCCTGTAAACCAGCTATCTCCCAAGAAAGAGCAAAGCTACCCTAACCCACACCAGCTGCCAGGTCTAAGCCCTTACAATTTCTGTCCTCTTGGGCAGGATCTTAGTCGAAAACCGTTATGGTCACAATTCCATCAGCATCCCAAAATACTCCAGTTGGAAATGGGTACCATCCTCAGAGGTGACACTGTCCCCATGCAGCAATGGCAGCTGGATCAGTGGTTCCTCCAGCGCCCATTTGATGCCCAGCAAACCCCCCTGCTCCAGAGCATTCATTAATTCCACTCCTGTGTTTGCTGAAGAGCTAAAAATTCAAAGAAAACCAAAAATAGCAAAAGGCATAATCACAGTACAGCTGCTAGACCGAGCTGAAAATACTCCAACCACGAAGCTGATTCACAATCAAGTAGTCTTGTTGCTACATGAAGTCTGTGACACAAGATAACCAAATACGCCTCCCCTATGTGTGAACTGTTAGTGCCTACCATGCACAGGGAGGCTTTTTGACAAGCACTGGTCTCAAGTAATAAAAGACATTTTTACAGAATGCCCATGCCTCTACTTCATTCACAAAACCGAGGCCTTTTGCAGTGCTTCACTGCCCCTGTAGAGAAACCTAAAGCATCATTTTTAGCTGGTTCTTTCTGGCTATGCTCACCTCTGCTTGGGTGTATTCTCCACACTCACAGATCTGTTCTGCTCCTCAGTGCTGAAGAATTCTCACCCCAATGCTGCGCCCTTGAAGCTTTGGGTGTCCCGTGGGCTCTGGAAGCTCTGGCCCAGCACACAGCTGAAATGTCCTTGCTTAGGCTTCACTTCCAGACAGCAGACAATCAGACAGGCTCATCCAGCTCTAAACAGCCTTATTCATCTATGTCAAAACTACCCAAATTCAATCAAGAGTCATTAACAGAGAAGCTTTTCCACAGATTTATTGCATATTCATTACAAAAATCACTGGTTCAAGTTTCCATTCTAGGGGATGGCTGGGCACAAGCAGAAGCCTCTACAAGGTCTCTACCCATAAACACAGCCTGGCAACTGCAATCTGATGTAGAGCTCTGTGCCATAAGCTAGTCTGTTCTTCCTCAAATAGCTTAAAAACATCTTCCTAAAACAGGTTTTGCAGAAACCATAAAATCAGGAGCTGAACACGCATTATGCAGTGATCAGTACTGTCTTCTCTGGTCTGTGTTTGTTCCACAAGCCTCTAAAAAAGATGGGTTTAGTGACACTGAGCTAGGCAAGTACAGGGTCATTTCTTAAGTCTACTAGAATTCAGAGATTTCCAGGGTTGTTCTGGTCAGTGTCAGACCCCCTCTAAGGCAGGCCACAGACTGCAGCTGCACTGGCTTTTGGTCACAACAGCTGGTGTCTACCAGAAACAGGCGACTCCACCAGCAACCACCACCGATGCAGGGGGCACTGCTGACAGTGGCAAGGCTGTACCAGAGAACAGCAGGTGAAGCATACAGCTCCTCTGCAGGGACTGCAGTGCTGAAAAAGCTTCATTCTTTGCTTAAAAATGTATGCCTTGATTCAGAGTTCAACTTTCACCCACTGGAACATGTTTTACCTTTATCCGCCCAAAACCAAGTACCAAGCAGGTATCTGAAAGAGTGAGATACGCAAGTATCAGAGCAGAGCTAGGAAGATGTTTGACCCTCCCACCAAGCATTTAGAGGTGAACCCGACAATTCTGATGGAAGCAGATGTTCTGCTGTGAGCAGTACCACCACCTCCACTGGGACTTCACAACCCTCTCGCTGGACTGCTGCAAGGACAGATTTTCTGAGCTGAATGTGAGGTGCTTGGACACAGTGGGACTACAGGTACCAAACAGCTGTCATTACATTACCAGCTTGATGAATCTGCTGGAGAACGCAGGCCTGAAGGCTGAGCATGGAGCAGCCGGCTCAGCAGAACATGGCCCAGTGCTCATCGCCTGCCATGGTACAGGACAGCAAAGGCAGAACAGGACTATCTGAAAAAGCAACAAATAAATAGTAATTGGCTACTAGGTTGAAAACAGTAAGGGAATGAGTTGACATGTTTCAGTTTAATATATGCTTCACCTGTCAGCAGTAACCCAAGCATTTCCTCCCTTAGGAATACCAGCCCTGTCACTTAAATATTTATACAACAAAGAAAAAGGCATGAACAGCCTTAATTTTTTAAAACCACCTGTCACTGTATTGTAAATAAATCCCTTACAGGAAAGCCACCATTTCCACTACCAGGTCTGTTGATCAGACCAGTACACTCAGGCTGGGCGTTCACATCGACCTCAACTTTCTGTGCAGTCCACCAGACAGGGTAAGTGTTGTCCATTTCTGAGTAAGGGCCAGGCATGCACAGAACTGGAAGCTGTATCTGACAGTAAAAGGGGATTTTCCTACTGAAGCTAAACCACTTCTCACCTCTGGCCTGTCTACAGGAAGTCCGGCTCACTGCTGAAGTAGATCATGTGAAAGCACAACAGCAGTTAAAAATGGGTTGTCCTTGTCTCTGACTGCAAGCTATGTGCTGCAAGATGCATTTTTCCTGGTACCTGTCAGTATTTTTCTTCCTCTTACTTTTCACTGTGTGCGTTTACTGGTACATGCACCCGCTGCAGGGATTACAGCAGCAGGAGCTGCCCAAGGCCAGGACAGCCCAAATCAGCTAACCAGGGACTTTGCCAGGGCTGGCTGCCAAAGGCCCTCGGGCTTAGAAGGTGTTACCCTCAAACGCCTTTTAAGAGGGCAAAAGGATCACTTTTTCCAATCCCCTTCTGTTCCCGCTTGGTTTAAAATACACGTTGTGGCCACCGGAGGGCATCACACGAAACCCTTCCGCGAGGCTGCACGGGTTATCAAACGGGTTTACATAAAGTGGGGCTGAGCAGACGGGGTGCAGCTTCCAAACTGGTTACCGTAATCCTTCAGGGTGTCCAGCGTCGCTCCTCAACCAGTCCTGGAGCCTGTGAACGAAAACACGCAGGTAAAACACTGTCACAGCACAGATGGAACAGGCAACCCAACAGCCCTGGAATTCGGCTTATTGTGTTCAATTCAAACCAGACACACTCACCATTTTCTACAGAAATACCGAGCTGTAACTTGCTCCCTCTAATTGCCGTTAAAACCTTGTAGGTAGACGAAGTAGGCCCTGACTTTCTCTCACAGGCAGGCCTTGTTCCTCCACCATTTAATTTAGGAGGATAGTATCAGTGGAGTCAATACAGTGTCACTGGCTCCACTTTCTTAGTCCTCCGGCTACCTCCGGAAGGAACTCCTGGGCAGTCTCAGGAACCGACCAAGAGCGGGGCCTTCCGCCACTCCCTAAACCCACGGCGCTCCCTCCTCACGCAGGGCCCGCTCACCGCTTACCTGGGAGCTCCACGCCGAGACACGTGGTGATGGCGACAGACCCTGCAGGGCCGCACAGCCCCGCGGCAGCCGCGGGCAGCAACCGGGCCGCGCCTCTACCCACCGCAGCGGGTCTCCGCGCCCGAGGCCCGGCCTGGCGCAGGCCCGCATTACCACCGGCACGGCCGCCTTTACGTGACCTGCAGGCGGAGCGAGTACGGAGGCCGCCCCCAGGCACCACGCGGCGCCGCTGCGGCCCCGAGGGGGCTCCGCCGGTCGCTGGCCACGGGCAGAGCGGAGGAGCCGCGGGCACCCGCCGCCGCCATGAGGTCCCCTCGTGCTACCGCCATTTCCTGCGGGCGGAGGCCGCCGGGCCGACCCCGCCCCGCGCCGCCGGGAGAGGCAGCCCGGAGCCGCTTCCTGCCCGGTCGCAGCGGGGCAGGTCCTTCCGCTGCTGCGATAGGCGCGACCCGAGGGCTCGGTGGCTCGTGTTTTACCCGGAGTGGGGAGCCGTGTCCCCGGGAAACGGCGGGTGTGGAGGCGGACGGGGCCGGCGGGAGTTGCCGGGGCTGCGGATGAGGAGGGGGCTGGCTCGGGACGGCGCAGGGGCTGGGCCAGCCCGGCTCGGGGCGGTAACGGACCGAGCTCGAGTACCCGCGCACGGCACCCGCCTTTCGGCTGGGCAGCGGCTGCTCTGTCCATAGCTCATTGTTGCGTCCCGCAGCCCTCCCAAGAGCCACCATCATGTGCAACACGTGCTTGTCTTGTCTGCGTCCTTCCGATAACAAGTGCTCGATCCTGCAGATTTAAGCATGGATAATAACATCCTGGTACTAGCTTTGGTGAGAGACACCCTTCTGGGCTCTGCTCCGGGCACAGCTCTGGCATGGCTGAATGGGAGCCACCAGCTTGAAGCAGGAATGGGGCCACAAAAAAGCTGCGAGTTAGCTCAGTCCCTGGGGTCCAAGGCTCCCAAAACCACCTGCGTGGGCCAAAAGTAGCCTGTAGATGCTTCTACTCAGAGCTGTTTGCAGCCAGTTGGAGTCATGCACTTCTTCTCTCAATCTTTAAACAGAATTCCCTATGTTCCATCTGAAGTGTTGGAAAACGCATGGTCAGGAATTGCCTGGGGCCACCCCAGTGCCTCCTGCCCTGTCCTATGCCCGTGCTGACCTGGAAGCTTCAGCTCGGATGCAAGGAATAAACCTATTTATTGTGCCTGTGCAGGTAGAGTCAGGTATATTGGATATATTTAACAGCCTATGCAATAAACACTTCATGAAATGAATATACAATAGCTTTGCCATTTATAAGCTGAGTTTAAAAAGCTTTCTTGTAGCAAGAGTCAGTAGCAGCCCTGCTTGCCTTCATTCCTGGGGTGTGGCTGTTTCTGCCGCCAGGAAAGCACCTGGTACCTTTAGTATGGGCCTAGGGCTTGGGAAAACTTGAGTATTCTTTCTAAATCATTTCAGATCTTAGAGGTGAAACGATTTCACACCCCCAGTCAGGCTGGCCAGCCCAACCTGAAGGCTTATTTGCACATTTGCCCCTTTCTGCTGCAGTTTATGGTTAGGAGGGCTCAGACATTCCCTCCCTTGAACCAGCTGCACTCCTGGGTTTCACCACACTCCTCATTCCTCAGGGCCTCCCAGACAGCCAAAGGCAGGAAAAACAGCCCTGGATGGGGGAGCTGGGGAGTGGATGGTTGCTAAGGCTCAGCACAGCGGCGCTGTCGCAGGTAGGCACAGGCGGCTGGGCTTCCTTCCTAAGGTTTTATTCTTGTATAAGGCAAAGAAATAGCCAGAGGTGAAGAGCAGGAGTCATTAAACACCCCTGCGGGCTCCGTGTGCTTGAGGTAACAAAGCTCAGCTTGGCCTCAGCAGAAGAAAAGCAAACTGCTCAGCATACTCCTCTTCCAAGCAGAGTAAACACTTTGCCTCCTACTCTTGAAATGGCTTATCAAAGAGCAGTATCTTGTCAAAGCCTCTTTCAAATCTGGGCTGACTGCTGTTCATGCTATTACTAACTGGAGGCAGTTTGGGAAGGGGGAGGTATGGGGCTTTGATTCCTCTGACAAGAAAGCTTTAAAGAAGGGAGAAAAGTGATAGTATTGACAACCTGTGATGCCATGGCATACGATAAAAGCCTAGCTGTCATTTTTGCCTGCACAACCTCACTGTGATTTCAATGGCCTGAC